TAGATTCATTGCACACTAACTGAAATATTTCAGGTCTTTTATTGTCTTAATATGGATGATTTTGGCATACAGCTCATGAAAACACAAAATTCCTATCTCACTAAATTAGCATAAAAGTGTTCTTAATACAAAACAAGTCAACCTTCAAATAATTATGTACAATTATGTACTCAATACTTGGTCTGTAATCCTTTTGCAGAAATGACTGCTTCAATGCGGCGTGGCATGAATGGAAATCAGCCTGTGTCTCTTCTGAGGTGTTATGGAGATTGCTGATGTTGCATATTATGCTCTCACCAATGGGACCCTTTTTCAGATGCTCTTGGTTAATAGACTAAAAGGTTTTCTCTAGAGTTGGGGTTGTAGCACAAGCACTACAGAACCACCAGAAAGACTATTCATTTATTTTATGAATTAGCTGATTGGGCTCAGCTCTACAGGACTGGGTGACGCATTTGTTTTTCTAACTTAATATGATTTTGTCTTATCTTGTGTGTTACTTATGTGCGTTGCAGTGTATTTATAGAGTCTCAGACTGCTTCTTGTTTTGTCACTGGTTCCTGTGCCTTGTTGGATTTTAAAATACAATAATAAATTTTTTCTTGTAATTGTAAAAGAATGCATAAATAAAATATATTCTGTATATTATTTCTGTTTCATCATTTTAAGCTAGACTTATCTATGTACTTTTAATTGGGAGACCCTAGGCCTCTTGATGTTATTTTTAGAGGTCTACTAGTTGGTTTTAGGGCCACGTCCTCGGTCACAATCCGGGTTATTCCCCCGTGTTACATAACATAGACGAGCAGTTGCGCAGCATTAGCCACATCAGTGCTTTTATCCAGTTGCAATGTGAAATAGTCACTTGCTCATACCTGGTCCAAAAGTTGATTAGAAACATCCCTTGCCATCTCACTTATTCGCCTACACACCGTGTTGTCCAAAAGTGGTATATCATCCATTTTCTTTGCCGCGTCCTCACCAAGCATTTCTCGATCCATGTCTT